AGGAAATATTTCCATTATTATAACTCCACCCAGGCATGTAGTACTTTCAGCACTCATTTCTGACATCTTCTGTCCTGAAATGACAGAGCAGATCATGTGCTTTTTGCTACCTTCAATGGCTGACCAATCTGCAAGATTTCCTTTTAGTCAATTGTTAGAGACTCTCCTGAAATTATTAACAAAGGCTGATGAATCAGGGGGGACCAACACCAAGATCACCCCCACACCCTGGCTGCTGTATGGAGTCTTAGCATTTGTTGATAACCATTTAGGTATGTATACCTGTGTACTGTGTTCTATAGTAATTCTGCATTTATTTATTTCAACAATTATCTGTTATGTTTTCAGGGTCATCTTCAGATCTTTCTGTAGTTAAATGCTACATTCAAGTCCTTCAGATCCTGTTAGTACAGCTCCCTCATCCAGGTAAACAACTTTAAATACAACATTTGCACAATGACACCAACTGATTACATGTACATGCATGTACCAATTGAAACTTCATTTGATACTATTCCTTTTAGATTTAAATTTGGTAATCCCAGTGGGTTTGGAAAACAATGTTGCTAGTTTACTAAAATTAATGGCAAAGTTAAAAAAGGTGTCTATTTTTTCAAGAAAAAAAATCTTCTAGCTATAGCTTTTACATTAATTTTAATTATGACAGTATGGCATGTATGCAGTTACATGTTTTTTCTAGTTTCTCAAGAGTCAGATGATGAAGATGAGAGTGATTCAGAAATGGAGACAGATTCGTCACAGGCAAGTAAAAATTCTGAATTGCGTCAGTGTAAAATTTAAATGTACATGTATGTTCAACTGTATTTCTATAAACAGGAAATTTCTGTCACCCCAATCTCACCTCAGTTTATTGTGATTTTTTGCTAAGCTAAATATATTCCTACAAATTTAAAATTCTTTCTGACGAGGAACAAACCCAGGTACGGTTAAGGCCATTCTTCTACAGGAAGTTTTTGAGTGATACTCCTCGTATCATCATGTAATAATTAATTTATTTTTATTTTTTCCATTTGATTTCTTTCACTAACAGCATCACACTTTGCATTTATTGACTGTTGGCTTAAAAGATGAAATAATGTTGTTGTGTTTCACAGTCATCTCTAGAAGGCCTTAAAGAAAAATGCTTGGATATCCTTGATTCTAAAGAACATGTTAAGACTTTGGAATCACTGTTAACAAGGTACACCCATGTAATGAGTTCATTTTAACTTGTTTTTCCTGAGAGAATTTTATCAACTTCAAAATTTTGAATTTAGAGCAATACTGAAAGCATAAATAGATATTAAGATATTTTCATTGTGTTTCTAGACACAAAGAACTGGCTCATGAGGAAGAAGTTATCAGAGCTCTTTGTAATATTTGTCATTTCCTGATGTCTGAGAGCAGACTTCCTATACACAAGACAAGGTATGTGGTTTTAAATAAATTCCCAGATTTTTTGCATCTCATGAGCTTTGTAGGGGAGGGAGGGGGGATGCTGTCGCATCAATGTTGGTGTGAGAGGGATTGAGATTCCAGCCGAAGGTGGATCATTATGTTGTGTTCTTGGGTAAAGAACAAATGTTTGATAGCACCAATCTCCACCAAGGAGTGGGAATGTGTAACAGTGAACTGTAAGAGGGATTTTAGGGGAAATGACGGTAGGCTGCAGTGTACTTCCCATCAAGGTTGTATAAGAATAGTAATATTCATGGTAACACATGACATGATTGTTATGACACCCAAGACAACCACTGGCATTGCAGGCCACTTAACCTATAAGGAGACCTAAACACTGCAGCTTACAAATAAAGACTGGTAGACATGCATTGTTGTTATACATAGAATTAGTGAAGTCTATCTTGAATTACATATTACACACTTATTAATTATCCAGTGCAGTTATCAGCATGCAACTAATTTATTTTTTCTTCATATGCTAGGATTCTATACACTCTGGCCCTGAGTCCAGCATTCGTGAGAGAACTCTGGAATAATGTACAGTCAGTTACAGTTTTTACCAGTACAGGGTAAGTTGGACTGTCAAGGTAGTGCAATGATTAGTTTAAATGGGGAACTGATTTCTTTTTGTAAGAATATTCTTCATGGAAGCTACTTTAATTTGTGCAGCTGTGTTATTGTGATACATGTAGGACCCAAATGAATCACTTTAAGGCTTGAGATAACCATACTGGTACAGTAGTTTGTTCACAGAAAATTATATTAATTTTGCACACATTCTAGAAGATTTATTACTACGTGCTTACATGTAAAATTCCATTTTTTTCTAAATCTGATGTTTTTTCTTTCTATGTCTTACTTTGTTTTGTTTCGTTTGTTTTTTTTTTTTGTTTCAAACAGGAAAGAAATCCCCTTGTTAGATCTAATAACTCGCGGAACAGATCTTTCAACACAAGAAGCCAGTGCTATAACTCCACTGTTGTCTTTGTTGTCATCATTACTGAGCAGTACTTTGTTTTCTGTTCATGACAATGAATTTTATGGAGTAGAAGGTTAGCTGTGAAGCCTCAGCCAAACGTTTTTGAGACTGTAATATTGAAATGACTACATGTGCACGTTGTAGATTTCCATCGGTGTAAAATGTACAATGTACATTGTGCTTGAACAAACCGATAAAACTGCTGCTCTCAAGAGATTCAGGCAGTCAGTCTGTCAGTCATTCAGCCAGTGTATCAGTCAGCCCATCAGCTAATCAACCAGTTGGTCAGTGAATGAGTCAGTCACTCAGGCGATCAGTGCTTTGATATGTGTCGTGCAATACCAGGAAATATTTCCATTATTATAACCTTCTATCGAGTAACGTCTGGATTGTAGTAAGATCATCAATCCTTCAAGCTCTACATTGGTAAAATCGTTATATTTTGCAGGTCAAAGAAGTTCATTCATGCCATTCTCTCTCAAAGAAATCGAGCACATGTCTTCAGTCTTGTGTAACGTTGTGATAGGAATAATTGAGATTATCTACCCAGATACAACCCCAGCTTTTACAGGGCAGTACCTTGCTGCTATGAAGAGTGTTGGAGCCAAGTCGGCCCTGATGAAAAAGGATGAATTTTATCCCAAAGGAAAGTGGATCAAGCTTCTAAAGGTTGGTCTAGTATAACAGAGTAGAGTCCTGCACTTCTGATGAGGATTGCAACCTTTCTTTTGCATCCTGACCAGTCTTTATCGGGTGTCTTGCATGACTGTGCATAACTGGCAACGTTAGACTAAATATTATGATGTTAAATTGCTCATTAACCAGTATTTATTTCTTTGCACTACCAAGCTGTCATGCACTCTTAAGATAAATTTCTTAATTTCAGCCTTGTGTTATCCTCTAAAATGAAATGACTGTTTTCTCTCCTGTCTGATAGGACGTGACCTGCCTTGTTCGGCAGCTCCATTCACGAGACTCCAGGAGACAGTTCTGTCCTGAAGGCCATTGGTTGTCACACAAAGTTAACATAGATCCAGCTCAGGTAGACAAGATTCTTATTTTTTTTTCGGATACGCGATTGTTTAAAAAAAAATTGAGCTTTCAAAGTGAATTTCAGGACCTCCCTTTTATTATGCTTCAGTTTTTCATCTCATAGCAACGATGTGATTGTATTTTCACAATTTTGAGACAGCCTCACTTCCCATATTCTTTGTACTCGTTTTTGACCAATTGAAAAATTTGTTCAATAGTTGGAAACCCTTGTTAGTTGACCATTTTCGTGTGTGATAACCAATCACACAGAAAACATGCTGTTCTTTTAAAACAATTTAGGAGCACAATTAATACCATTCCTGAAGCCAGTGCGTTTTCCCGCGCCGGTTTTGCTCTGCTCATTCGATCATTTCCGTGTGTTCTTTAATATCTCTGATTATAAATGTTTGCACTCGTAAACCTTTTTTAAAACTTTTAAACCGTTTAACTCGATAGTGTAAACTGATGAAACTGTTTTTCGCTTTTATCTTTCGAACAGATGAAAATTGACGGTTTTCTCAATGAAGAAGGTAATTTATGATTCTTTGTCTACAATATAGAGCTGCAGGCGTCTGATTATTAACTGTATCTGTAGTGGCTAAGCAAGATATAGATATGCACATTTCACTTGAAGTACAAAAAATCCCGTCTTTTAGTGCCAAAGCTTTGGGGTTGAAATGATCTAAGGAGAATTCGAGAAACATTCCGCACATTCAGGTGGTCTTGTAATCCGGATGTTTTGTTCTCCTTCGCAGCCATTTTATGGATTTTCAGGCAACGCTCCCGTTGTAACATCCCAAAAAACGGTTTCGTGGAGATTAATGGCCCTCTTGTTCTTGTTCATGATCGACTTAAGGGAAGGATGCTATCCACGTCATTTTATCGGTCTCCTTTGCATTTAATTATTCACCTTTCATTAATTGTTTAGGTACCGTGGAAGGTGTTTTAGAACCAGGGTTATCGTCCAGCACAGCGAGGAACATGGCCATTCTTCAGCACATACCATTTGTTGTTCCTTTTAAAGACCGGGTGAAGGTGAGACTGTTTTAGAAAGCGGTTTATGCACCAATTTTTAAATCGCGTCAAAAATAATCAGAGATTGCTCTGGTTGTATTTTTCTAAACCATATGATTGGTCCATAAATCTTGCGCAACCTTCCCAACCAATCATACAAAACCAAAATCACATCGCTACTTGTATTTTCCCGCCATTTACTTGTACCTTTTATCTAATTGGCTAATGATTGTGCTCACTATTATTTTGGTTTTACTATACTTCATCATTTCATGTGTTTTGTTTCTTAGCTGCTCCAGCGAATTGTGGCAAAAAATCGGCAAGATTCCCAAGGAGAGCTCCATAACTTTTTGATGGGATCAGCCATAGATGTGACAGTGAACAGAAACTACATTTATCGAGATGCTTTTGATCAACTGACCGAAGACAAAGGTCAGTAGAAATGAACAGAAAGTGACTTTATTTGGAGTGAGATGTCAAAACTTTGTCACGAGCGCGGGATAGATATTAAAACTGAGTTCCCACAAGGCTAAGAACCACAGACGTTCCCATTTTGGATGCTCTTCTTTCACAGTACTCGTGTTGAGCCATGTCTTACCCTAGATTCATATGTATCAAGTGTCCTGTAAACTGATGAGGTAGATGGGTAACTTTTGGGTCGGTCGTGGATTTTAAAATAATTGGTGGGTCTTTAAGGGAAGCATCCTTGTTACTCTAACGACTATTATAGTTTGAGACTGCGTTTCCTCTTGCAGCTCCAAATTTAAGACAAAAGCTTCGTGTTCGGATGATTAAAGCGCAGGGACTAGAGGAAGCTGGCGTTGATGGGGGCGGAATTTTCAGGTGAGTGAGCGATCGTTGGATAAAAAAACATTGCATAACTTTCCGTCTTCTTGATTTTCACCAGAAAGACTCGCTTTCACTTGAGGCGGGATACGTTTTGATGCCCTCGTCAGACGATTTGAATTTCTTAAGTCTGTTCGTTAACTTGAAAACTTATGAGATGGAAATTTTGCGAACGTCGCGCCCATACACTCAGCTGACGGTAAGCGTTTTGTGCACTTTGTGCCACTCGTCAACAATGTTCGTATCTCTACGAACTGTAGTTTACCGACAACAGCCCTTTTCAGGACTACACTGACCCGGAAGATCAGACCACACTATCACATTTACCCCCGGGTTCAAAAAACTTAACTATGGAACGACATAGGGTTATATACTAAGCCTTTAACTCCAGTTACTTTACTTTTTTAATCTGAGTCAACCAAACATGAATTTTTCCCTTTTTGTCCTACCTTTTCTACAGGGAATTTTTAAATCAGTTGCTCAAAGCTGGATTTGATCCTAACATCGGTTTCTTCAAGGCAACACATGAACGGTTGCTCTATCCAAATCCAGAGGTATGTAAGTCGTCCGGCTAGTTGCTCTCCCTTTTAGGTGCTATTCATTTCCTTGTTAATTAGTTGAGAGAATTTGGCGTTACACCAAGATACCGCCATTTTGCTCAATTTATATTTTAGATATCACTTTTATCTGTTTGATTTACCCAGGCTGCTATTTTAGCAAGAGATTAACTGAAGCACTATCATTTCCTGGGAAGAATGTTAGGAAAGGTTCGTCGCAAATAAATAGAGTAAACATTTACAGTTTTTTTATCGCTTGAACTTATTTCTTGCTTTTCATTTGTTTGTTTCTTTTCCCCTTTCTCTTTGACATTTATGACGTTTTTATTTGTTTTAATCTTGCACGAATGGCTTAAACTAACAGTGCGACTACTGATACCAACGTTACTTACACAAAATTGTCCGTTCTAAATACAGGTAACAACCAGAAAATTATGAATTCCAGCTGAGTTCTTTATCTTTGTGATCTTTACTTCCCTTTTTCCTAAATTGGCTAATTTAGTTGTGATCATTGTTTCCTTCTTGTGATGTGATTGATTAATTTGTTTCATTTAAGTGAAACGGGAATGGAAGTGGTACTGAAACTTAAAGTACTCGATCATTACTTCTTTTCAATCAGTGCGAAAGTTAGTTGAGGTAGAGGGCGGGTTTTCGTATCCCAGCTGCGCCGCGACAAAAATTGCAATTGTTCAGAATCAATAGAAGATTTGATAGAGGATGGTTCCATGACTCGTCGCACCAGGATATTTTAATCATTTTTAGTTTGGTTTTTTTGTCTGTTTGTTTGTTTGTTTGTTTATTTAGGCGTTGTATGAAAATATGTTGGTGGAGCTACCGTTTGCGAGCTTCTTTCTGTGTAAACTTCTCAGTAAACACGGCACCGATGTAGATATACATCACCTGGAGTCGCTTGATCCAGAAATGTACAGGTACGCTGTGTGTTCTACTGACAATTGACATAGAGAGCCTCGGTTAGTTTGTGTAGCTAGGAAAAGGCGAGGATGAGAAAGAAAATTGTCTTGAAAACAAAGTTTTAGTTCAAGAATGATTTCCAGTAAAAATAGAATATCTCAACTCGATATTAGAGTCGCGGTCAACTAGCAATATTGTTAGGTGTGATAACTAGATGTGTAACATAGGAATACATGTTCGTGTACCCCTTTAATTCCAAGGAGTGACTAGCTTCTAATTTCTCCTTACATTATCACCCTTGAGTTAAATGTAACGGTTATGAGAATAAAGAAAACGATCACTAATTTGGGAAGCTCCTGGTTGTCTCACAAATTCTCCTCGTCAGAACCCCCCAAAAAATGTAAAGAGAACAGAGTGGGGAATGTGAATAATACTATTAGGGTGTAATGGGTTGATGTAGCTTGGAAAAAGCTTGGATGCTTAAAAGCCGTTATATATCGTGGGCTCCAAGTTATTACTGTAAAAAGCTTCTTGAAAGTTGGCGACAGATGATACTACACAGGTATTCTGCTGAACCTCGCTAGATAATTGACTAAAGAGTTAAAGATTTCTTTTAACATTTCTACAGTTTATTTTGATACAACGAAGCGAAAGATTTATGTTCTATTTGAATTCTTTCGTTTAGAAACTTGCTGTTTCTCAAAAATTACAGTGGAAATGTCGAAGACCTGTCTCTTAATTTCACAGTGGTGAATAACGACCTTGGGGAAAGTCAGGTAATTCGAGTGGCTAGCTTTCATGTGATTGTTTGCCCTCCTGGAATCCCCTTTCCTTCCATTTCTCCCAAATTTCAGCGAAACACTGGTCCCCCGCCCACCCCACCCATTCTGCCCACGCCTCTGAGGCCATTCTCAACCGTTGCTATACAGGTTGTGGAGCTAAAACCAGGTGGTCGAGATATTCCTGTCACAAACAGTAACAGAATCAGTTATATTCACCTTGTAGCTGATTACAGGCTGAACAAACAGGTCAGTCCGAGAACGTCTCTTTTTCTTAATTGTTCATTTTATCTTGTTATCAAATCGATGCTTTGCTTACATCCATATTTTGTTTTGATGTCTATTACAATAGTCCTTTTTTTACAGTTGTGGGCTTGGTGGCCAAGCCTTTGAACAGGAGTGAGGCTTAGGGTGACCTTGTTATGATAGAGATGTTGCTGCTTTTCGAATGCAAATTACTTTGCATTCATGCTAACTAGATACAGGTCTCTATCACAACAGGTTCACCCTTAGCCTCACTCCTGTCCAAAGGCCTGGCCACCAAGCCCACAACTGTAAAAGGGACTATTGGCTTGATTGTGGCAAACTTGAGATGTTAATGTAATCTTTCTGTTGCAATCTTCTTTTAGATTCATCGTCACTGTGTGGCATTCAGAGCAGGTCTGTCAGATGTCATCAACCTAGACTGGCTAAGGATGTTTGATCATAACGAACTACAGGTAAATTTGCCTTATTTTGGTTTAGAGGAATATGGCGAGTCCCTTCGTGTCAGTTTCTCTTATTTATATATCTTATTAACCAAGCGCGAGGGCCGTACTGGGAGAATATCGGCCCGAGGTCTTGACAGTACGGACCGAGCGCAGCGAGGTCCGTACAAAAAAGACCGAGGGCCGATATTCTTCCAGTACGGTCCCGAGCAAGCTTGGTTGATAAGAGATTTATTATACGACGGAAGTTCAAAGGGACACAGGTGCGTTATCATTCGGGACCACTCGGGACAGTGCCCGGTCCAATACTGAGAGAATATTGACCGACAATAGAGCCTTTTGATTGGTTGAATGTAGCTATTGGCCCTCTGACTGCCCGAGTCGTGTAATAATTTTTATTATTATTATTATTTATAGGTTCTTATATCCGGTGCCTTAGTTCCAGTAGACCTCGAGGATCTCAAAAGAAACACAAACTATTCAGGTATAAGACTGTTGGTAGGATGATAATATCAATTGTTGATGGTTACGTAATATTATTCTGAGATCTCATTGGTTCGTTATTTTGCTTGGTTTGTTGTGACTGATTGTCACAACATCAAAGGTTATAGGGTTGCCTTCCCAGGTTAGGATTGGTGACTTAAAGGAAGGGTACGTTAGATTCATTGTTTGCGATGCGCAAAATTACCCTGATAGTTCAGGAAACCACATAGTATTTGTGTGATAAGATAGACAAATATCAAACCGAAAAGACTAAATGAAAAACGAAGTAGGTTAGTTAGGGGTAAAGAAGATCGACGCGAATTTTGATGATCGCCTTGAGAAAATTGTCAGGTAAATTCTCAAGAGGCTTAAGCCACGACGTAGATCGTTTGTCACGACATTAACAACTCTTGTACGTTTCAGGTGGCTTTACTGAAGACCATCCTTGTATGCTTTCATTTTGGCGAGTTGTCAGTCAGTTCACGGATACACAGAAGCGTCAGCTGTTGAAATTTGTAACGAGCTGCTCGCGTCCTCCTCTCCTTGGTTTTAAGGTTAGTTAAGTCACTTGTTCCCTATACTTACATGCATGGCACAGGTGGGGTACATCCTCAATTAAGTTTAGGACCTGATTTCACCCTTGTCTTTCCTTTATCTTTCTTATCGAGGGAATAGGGATGGCTTAGTGTGAGAGCGCTGGCCTTCCGCCTCTGAAGCCTGGGTTCGATTCTCGAGCGTGACGTCATTGTTGTTAGTTTTCTTTCATGCTCCAAGGGTTTGTCTCTTAGTTCTACAGTTTTTTTTTTTTTTTTCAGCAAATCAGCAACATTCCTTGTTGCACTTCGAAGTGGAAACGGTGGAAGAGAAGAACCACTTCGGGGAGATATGACTGCTAAATTTTAACTTTTTGTTGTCCTTCAGGAACTCCACCCTCCATTCTGTGTGCACAGCGCGGGCCCTGAGGATAGACTTCCGTCAGCGAGCACATGTATGAACTTACTTAAATTACCAGAGTATTTGGACGACGAAACCATGAAAGAAAAACTGTTATATGCTGTAGAATCAGGCGCGGGATTTGAACTGAGTTAAAGTGTCAAAATTGTCGTCACTCGGTTAAACGCGAGGACCACCGCGACTTGGCCCTGCAGTACACTGATCGCGTTCTTGTGGAATGAGGAGAAATTCTCATTTAGTACGTTGTGATTGGTGGAAAGGAAGATGTGAAGACAAGCTCGCACGAGAATCATGTATCGACCAAATGTGATGTTGAAGCGTCTTCATGGAAGCTTTGGGAAAGGCCATGTACGGACTCGATCAGATCTACAATCCGAGTATCTAGTCACTAAAGATTTAAATGTGACCCAGCCGAAAAAGTATTACATGTCTTCTACTTCAAGCACAGCCGGGTAACCTTAGGGGTTTAAAGGGTCTCACGCTAGGCGCAAGGGTTTTATCCGAAAAGTCGGATCCGTACGGCATCAATGCCTGAGTAGTACGATTCTGAAGTAATGTGAGTTTTCGTATTTTATAAAGTTCTTTCTCGGCAGTTGTTGAAGTACTATTCAGAAAAATAGAAAAGTTTGTATTTATAGTGAATAACGTGCTGTAGGATTGACTGATTTTTATTTCCTGTTCAGTTAGGGAAGACTAACATTTGGAAATAAGGGAAGGGGAACAATGTGTTGAAACTCTTTTTTTCTTTCTTCT